CACACACACACACACACACACACACACACACACACACACACACACACACGTCAGCGTTAGGCTAATTTATTTGTTACTAAAATGTGATTAAGCCAACTTAAGAACATTGACTGTAATATAAGTTATGAATAATAACCGTAGATCACATATAGACCAAACAACCGAACAAAACAAGGCGAGTTGATTTCAGCTTACTTGGGCAGATGACAAGTGTTTGTGTCTTTCAGAGTGTTGGAAGTGCATCGTCTTTCACTGATAATCTTATTAGTCCACTGTTGAATTCCTTTTTGTTCAAAAACCTAGCATTGTAAAGTGGCTCGCACAAATAAATAACTTTTTTTGTCTGAGGGTTACTTTAAAAAATGAAGTCAAACCATTTTTTAAGAACCGTGTCATCTTTGGTATCTGAAAAAAAAATTCCTGAAAGGCTTTCTTTTTTTATCCGAAAAAGACTGGACTGAGAAGTATTACAAGTTCAGCAGACACACAGCGACACATGTTTCTGATGAGGGGACAACATTGTAACAGGATATAAAACTCAAAAAAGTTTTACATGATACTGCCCCTTTAAATGCCATCATTACTTCATCATCACTTAATGGAGAATATTTTAAATAAGGTGGCCAGGGAATGTTCTSAATGTATAGAATAAAACAAAAATAACACAAATGTAGATCCTCACCTTGCGCCAGCCTCTCCAGCCTCTTGCCATGCTCAGGTGGGATGGTGTACCTGCAGATAAAATCAGTGAAGACGACAGTTACCATGATGATCCATAATCCCTGCAAAGCAATATTCAATTCAAAATACTTTATTGATCTCAAAGGGAAATTACAGAASGGCAGGTTACAATTATATTCCAGCCAAGTTAGCATCCCTTTATATTTGCCTCCACATATCTTTTTAAATAAAGTCAAACACTTAGAGCTGAAAAAAGCAACACCACCACCACAATGGCACATGTGAAAAACAACATACAAACTCTTAGTGACATTCTGAGCTGTCGCCACACTAAAAATGAGGTTCATGTGTTGCTCGCTAGTTGCACATAAAATTTAAGAAGCTGTTTCATTGTCTGTCAGGTAAYGACAAATGCTTCCACTGATAACACTTGTGCAAATTACACAGGGACGCTTAAAACGCCTAAAGATTTAATACTAACACAGATGCATCAGTCTCTGAAAAGCTGTTGCAGAGATGCATAAAATAAGTTATGTGAATGGGTGGACTGAGGCAAATAGGGGGGAGGCTGTGATAGAATAGAAAAAAATGACTGGTAAAGGGCAGGAACAGGATGAATGACTGTTTTGGGAGTGCTGGTTTATTTCTCTGCCCTCGGTGCTTCACAGTTTAGGAAATGAAGTTGTGCAAAGTGGATCCTTCATGAGCCGTATCTTAAAYTTTTCTTTCACTCTTGCTTTCATTAGGAAGAATTTTTTTACATTTATGATTATTTAAAACAACTTTATGTACAATACTTAGAGCTACAATTTTCTCTTCTTAGTGTTTTATTTTTACTTGGGAGATCTGTGTAAATTCACCACTGCTTCATCAGTTATCCATAATTTTACATTTCCGGGTTTTAGTGTATTACTGTATGAACAAAATAAACCTAAAGCTTTTCTTATGTGATACAGCATGAGTTTATGCTGGTATTACAGAAAGTAGGCACTGCAAAGCATACCTCAAATGTCAGACTCTACACTTAGAAAATAAATTTTTGTAAAACAGAATACCAGGGAATCAGTAAGGTTGACTTTAATCTGCTCATTCGTGAAGGTATAAGATACTCTTTATTAGTAATAAAGTTATGCAAACCTCCATAAACCACAAGCACTTAACTAAGAATAAAAAAAGAATCAGGATTTCGTCTACTTTACTGAACCACATTGGATGCTTGAAACAAACTAAGAAATGGAAGAAGAAAATGAAAAAGAGAGTTAGTAAGAGGAAAATACATTTAGCGGGAGAGAAGAAGAACGAGCAGGAGAACAGGACAGAGAGAGGGGATAAAAATAAATGAAAAGCAAGCAGGAGACAAAATTCCATTCTGTGAGAATTGCTAAAGACATGGAGCCACACTGCCACCTGTAGACAAAAGCTAAGACCTTCATAAGTTCACACTCCCAAGGTTTTATTACTTTTATATAAGGAACCAGACATCCGAGCATTGGCGGGGAACAAAAACATGATTAATAAAACCAAGACTTGGAATATCAAATCTTTCCTGTCATCATGAAAACTGGAGCTTCAGTATAATAAAAATAAATAAATACGTAAATAAAGTTTATTGAAGTTTTCATCTAAAAAAAGTTATGGTTGTTTTTTTTTTTTGTTTTTGAAAGAGAGTAAACATGTTTAAACACTCCTCCTTCAACTTATTTGTGTGTGGGGGTGTTTTGCACCTATGCATAGTGAGTAATAAGACAAAAACAAATCAAACTCTACAATCAGAGTATGAACTTGTCCTGTGGCTGTAAGGGAAAAAAAAGTAATAACTTTCAAATGCAAGTAGCTCCAATCATCCTTCAGAGACAACTGAAAACTTTGCATTTATTCCTAATCTAACCTGACTTTAGGCTATGATTTTTCATTATCAACAGCACACTGTATGTGCCCAACAGGYATTCTCATAAGTGTCAAAATGAGATCCTGTAAAGCACTTTGTCTCCACACAAAAATCTCTCTGCCTCATTGACCTTTACGCACTCCACCTTTACTCGTCAAACCACAAACCAAACCACATAAACTGCCAGATATTGATTGACTGTTTTTGCTCATTGAAAGCTAAAACTATAGTCTTTCTGTTGTGAATGACAAAGATGTAACAAGAAAATGTCTGTTTACACTATGATTTGTGCATACATTTATTTGAAACAGCATCTCGTGCATATCCAAWAATGCACTTTACAAATAGTTTCATAAAGTCAAAGATGAACAAATGACATTTTAATTGATTTTTCCAATTCCAACTTTACAGAATAAGGTATGTCTCCAATAATTCCTTTAAAGAGTAGACAACTAGTTAGCACTGCGTGAGAGTTTTTCATATAAATGTGCATAAATTTCAAAGCACCACACGTCAGGGAGCATCTGTTAGAAAGTCCCTTACAGGAAAGCTGCAGGAAAGCCGTTCAGCATCATGTGTCTTCTTGTTCCCTTCTTCACTTGTTACCATGGCAGCAATGTGCATCAGAAATGGCAACACATATATAAGACAATTTGCAAAAAATGAAGACTTCAACTTATACACCCCTCYGGGGAAAGGTATAATTAATGTTCGGTTGGAATTCTTTTTCTGGCAGGTGGAATTAAASAGTCGTCACAGCACGAGAAGCTGAACAGCATGCGCAGCAGTTCCAGCTGAATTACAATCTATTTGTGGCATCGACACTTCTTTTAAATTACTGAATTCAATAAATAAGGTGTGAATCAACAGCTTGGATTTTCTGCTCGGCTATCTCTTCTTAACGACAGATTGTTACTGCAGACGTTGTTCCCGTCTCCCCGTCGGTCTGCAGCTCTGTTCGACTCCCACTCATGAACAGGACTGCAAGATACTTTAACTCCTTCACTTCAGGCAGCAAATTACTCCCAACCCCAGAAGATACTCTTTACTAACACAGGATCATGACTTACACTTGAAAGTAGCAATTCRCACCCTGACTGTCCCCCACCACCCCAGTTCCATCTGGGACAAAACAGGAGATCTGCAACAGGGAAAGATGCGGTGCCAAACAAAGYTGAAAAAGTTGAACAAACTAGAAACTTTCTGTCCATGTCGGAGTATAAAGAGTAATAACATATTCGCCAACCAACATAAGTTCAAGTAAATTACCTGAACTTACGTAGGGCTTTATCAAGTCCCTTGGGACTCCAAAGCTCTTTACACTTCAGTCATTCATGCACATATTACACATCGATGGTAGTGAGCTACAACGTAGCTACAGCTGGGGCACACTGAAGCCTCTTTCATAAGACGGCTCAGTCCGAGACTTTTGCGTGTTCTGACCTCCTCCCCACGTTCAGAAGAAACACGGAGGCGGAAAGGCGAGTAAAATGAGCCCGCCTCTGATGCGCCCCTGAGCCGCTAGCAGAGGTGGTATCAGAGCCGGGACCGAGCCCGGCAGACCCACTTGTGAAAAAGCAACGGTTCCGCGCTCAGAAATGATAATGAGCTGATGACATCAGTGAGCGCAGATTTATTGTCAAGGGAATACTAAAAAAGACACAGAACAGCAACTGTGTAGCAATTTAAAAATATTTAACAGCCACAGAATCACTAAAGTAAGTTAATTCAGTTTGTTTTGTTTGACACAAGGCAGCAGACGTCTGTCTCACTATAAATACGTCGCGCTCCACTCCAGCCCAGCTGAGTTCTGCTCCACGCCTCTTTTGGTTCHGCACTGCTGGTTCATTTCTGAACGCGAACATGTGTGCGAGACCAGGCCGGCTTTTCCTGTGATTTTATGAATGACCCGGGGTAGGGTTGGGCAGTATTGGGGGAAAAAAAAATCACGATTAATTGTGGTGTTTAGCAGATAACGATTATTTTGACGATTAATCCCCTGGAGTCCCTGTTTAGTGGGAAAGATTTGCTCTTCGTAAAAATCTGTTCCAAATTGTGTGAAAATTACAGACTTCATGATCTAAATCAAATTTTAAAGTGTGTTGATAGATAAATAAATCACAGAACTTGAGGCAGGGCTGCCATGCACTTTCTGACCACCACCAGCAGACAAAGTGAAGTGTCTTGCCCAATGACACATCTGTGATGGACAGAAAGGGGAACTGAACTGGCAATCCACCAGTTACAGGACGTTTCCCTTAACCACTCTGCTACAGYCGCACCTAGATCCACTTTTGTTACTCTGTTGATTCCACAACCCGTTTGCTATTTGTAAATGCACTATGATAGGCTGCTAAATTGTCTCAGTTCAGTAGCTGAATCACGGAGGACAATCRTGAAGACTTAACAAAGGATAGTTTTTAAAGTCTAAGGTCTTAATGTGGACAACCGTTTAGATTTTACCCAGAAGAAAACCATGGGTAAYAAATGAGACAACTTCCAAGTTTTAGACTAATTTTAAAACAGCTAGAGTTGTTGTAAAAAAGTAGTTTCAGTTCACGAAAACTTTCAGATAAAGCCCAAAACACCATACTCTGTCCCGACTGCAATAACAATTCAGCTGATATGCAGAACTTCAGCTCTCCATTTCTCTCCTCTGGGAACTGTCAAACAATAATGGTTCAAAACCACTGGACTACACAGGGTTGAACTGATGGGTTCATAATAAACTCCCCCCATTCCCGGGAAAGCATGGCTGGGCTATACTTCAAAAAATAAAATAAAATAAAAAAACAGCCTTTCAATTCACTTATGTCAGCCTTCCCCTGCTTCCACTCACAGCCTCAAAGGCTAATCCTTCATCTGACAGCAGATCTACTGCTGTGTGTTGAGGTACAGAAGTGACTGAAAGACTTTTAGCACTAAAAAGAAAGCCAAAGAACAAGAAACGAGAAAAGACAAGGGGAAAAAATGACTGGCAGCCAGGGCTGCGATCCTCTAAACATCCACCTGTGTCTAAGTAGCAGCAGTAGTTATGATGAAAACTGACTTTGAGGGCCAAAGGGTGGCAGAGGGAATAGAGTTAATTTCACAAACTGCTGCACTATGAGAGGAGAAGACGAGGAAGACAAGAGTGTGTGTCTGTGTGTTTTAAAAGAAATAT